CATACTCCTTTTAGCTATCGTAATGATACTGTTATCGCTGGGAGCATCGAGGGTACACACTATGTAGTATTAGCATTCAGTGTTAATGGAGGAAAGGTCAATGAAGAAGTCTCACTTGAAGGAAAGTTATCATGTATTTTAATACAGAAGGTATACTATAGACAGCAATAGGATGGCATGCATTCTAAGCCAGTGTTTTTTTACAGTTTTTTTATGATACAGAGTTGACGACTGGCCTAATTTTGGTGGAAATAGGTATACTGAGCAGTACTGAGGGTGAATGGAGCTACAATTCAAAGTACCGGAAAGATAAATGAAGATTAAAATATCAATAACAAATAACAGATAGATAATTGCATTTAAGTCCAACCATTGCTATTACACATGTAGACAGATTATTGTGCTAAAATTTAAAATGAAAAAAAATGAAATTAATATATAACTATCGCTCTGCTCCGCCCTGCGCTGATAAGACTCGACACTAGAGCGACATAGATCAGTATCACTCTCATTCTTTAAATGGCTCGACTAGTTCATAAACCTTCTATTCTTAGTGGAAGGACCTTAGGTAAGCAGATCTAAAGAAAAGCATATTTTATGTAAATATACAGACATTAGTGATCTCGATGAAGTGATGGCACTACTTGAGAGACATCACTACAGCAAGACATCATATCATGAACTAGGTCTTCGTCTTAAAGTCTCACACAATACACTGGAGAATATAACGAAGGACCAAAGGGATGTTCTTCCTTGTTTTAGAGAGTGTTTAGCTAGCTGGTTGCGTAAAGCTGATGGTGTGGAGGATCCAACAATAGATACACTGATAGCTGCTCTTAGAGGAATAGGAGAGACTGCTGTAGCTGATGGTATTAATGGAGAAAGACAAAGTAAATAGATTAACAGATTGAAATTCTTATGTTTACATTTAAAGATATTATTGCTGTTTCGGCAAAAAGTGAAATGTCAGATAGACCAATGTTAGATACCAGTGAAGGTTAGGCTACGTGTATATAATGTATGTGATTGTGTATGCAGAGCAGACACCTTGTACTGATATTAACTGCACGTTGCACTTCCCAAACTTAGTGAAAGCATATGATAAGTTTAAAAGATTCTTCCTCACTGTTATGAGGAGCAAACCATGAAATGAAACATAGACCCACAAAAATAACACACATGAAGTAGCAAACAATAAACCACCTACATGTTGCTATTTGTGGTTACTCTGATATACATGTTCCGCTATTTTTGTAACAAGCACTGCATATATGAGATCAAAGTAACCACAAATTTAAGGAGGAAATTGTTCAATGATTTTTATAGTATCATTAATTAGCTGGTATTTAATTATTTAGCAAAGTTAAAAATACTTTGTTAAGCCTTGCATGCAGTGTTTATTTCTTCTCATTAGAACTTAAGGGCTCTCTTATCATTCTATACTGTGATTATACTGTCTGCATGAACACTTCTCCAGTGGGCTCGACTGGAGAAGTGAGTTAAGACAGTGAGTGGAGAGGTAGTCCACTCTGTAGACTATATACTGTATAGTGCTTTAATTTGGTGGAGTTTTATTTTGGCGATTGGCTGTCTACATTTGGAATTGCCAATATTAAAAGTGCCAGTCATTAACATGCATGCCCAGTAATGCACGTGTACATAAAAAATTGCCAAATTAAAAACTGCCAATGACAATTTTACAGCAAAATTGCCACTAATAAAGCGCTATATAGTAGTTTTGTAAGCTACCAAATTTTTACATTAATGAAGTTAATCTTAATAAACCGTAAAGCTGGATTAAAATATCCACAAAAATCAATCCTAGATCTACCCTAGCTTGGCTGGAACTTCACCATCATTGCATTTGCTTGATCAGAAGAGTTATAAATTGCTAAAAATTATGCATGACATTGAATTAATATATTTCTGTTTTAT